ATTAAGACCACTACACCGAAAGTCAGTGAAACGCAATGTAAAAGAAGTATTTGGATTTGGAAATGTTATGAGAAATATTAATCTAACGAAAATAGCCACGTCATCTTTGGATATAATGTCTTTATTTATTGGTATTTCACTGACTAAAACTATTGAATATATTTGCAAACAACTTGTAGAGAAGAACGGTGTTACTTATGCTAATAGATGAAGTGAAGAGAATTTTATTGAATTTGATAATGAGCACCCACTTCTTGCACAAAAACAAACGTTATCGACAAATAGATGAAGTAGCAGTGAGATCTCCCCTTGGTCCCATTTTCACCAATATGTTTTTAGCTTAAGTGCAAAACGGCGTATTATGTGATACTCTTAGTAAACCAAAATACCACTGCCTTTATGTAGGTGATGTACCGAACATCTTCATCTACACGGTCAATATACGAGGACTCTAAGAAACATTTGATAATGCACATCCAACGACTAGTCCCACATGTGCTTTCTTCTCTAAAAGGTAGGATGGTTCGACATAAAGAAATGTATTTAGAAAAAACTTGCACTATGTTTACTTACATAGAATCGCATCCATCCAACACAAATTAATCTAATTAAGTGTTCGAGTTACGGAAAAAAGTGCTAAATATTGTTCGCAGGGGAAAAGGGTGTTGAATAATTCTCATTGGTGGATCTTATCAGGTGATATCGATGACCGTGGTTCTCATTCATTACAAGTTCCTAGTACGAAAATGAATTAAATTGGATTTTTCATCAGACAGCCTTTCTGAATTTCACAAGAGACCTACTAACTTCAAAGCAAATTATTTTCTAATCCAAAAACTTGCCAGTCCAAATATCCTTTGCCGATACTATAACCAAATATGAAATGTTTTGGCAAATATCCTATTTGTGTAATATGTTATTTTGTCTTTCTCTCCTTATCTTAGAGAAGGTTTGAAACGAACTCTAAGTAAATTTGAGGAGGCATTAAGTACACCATTGAAGTAGTTAAATAGTGAGACTTATCCTAGGAGATACTTTTCCATCTTTGTTTTGTAAAATTGTGGAACATCATTATTTCTTCATGTACATAACATGTATAGCACCTCGCTTTATTAATATATTTCTTCTTACCGCAGTTATTTTGTTTGAGTAATATGTATTTGTTGTTATTACTATGTTTTTGATTATTAAATATTGTTATTTTTAACCCCAGTCTAATTAAAGTCACCATACTTGACTTTAAAAACTGGCAAAAATGATCAAAAAACTAGTTGTTCCTGTATTGGTAATTAAAGTTTTTGTTGAATGCTTGGTGAATGGCGTAACGTGATATGAAACTTGTCTCACTATGAATTGCTTTAAAGATGTTGAAACACATTGATGCTTGTAGTAATCTAGTGAACGAGAATGCAAGCGAGAACAACCAAATATGTTTGAATACAAAATTACAGAACGTCTTAGTAAAATCTGAGAACCATACGGCGAATGCTTCATCTAGAAAATGTTGATCAATTGCTTCGGATTTGACTGACCCTTCGTTTCGAAATCAAGCACTCTCTGTTCTCGTTCTTTTCTCTTCGATCTTAGCCTTCTGCCGCCAGGCATTTCACTGTAGCGATAAATAAATCCCCAAAATAAATAGCACTAAGTTTTCGACATTGGATGCTGACCATATGTTTTAGTGGACTCATCTAGCTGAAGGCGCTCGGTCAGGCATCCGCACCAGATCACGTGTGGTAACGCCGTGCTCAACATCAACCGCAATCGCTAGCCAGGTTAGATCAGAGAATTCCGATATATTGGTCATCGCCAAATATACTCTTCAATTCTCCTCGATTCTGTCTTTTGATTTCTCTGGGTGGGAACGAAATATATTAGAAGGTGTTACTGGTAGAAGCGTTGTCAAACACTGAATACCTGTGACATCATCATTGGTGAGACCGACGTGATCTTGTACACCTAATTGCAACTGTGAGTCTGTTCCTTTTTGGGATTTTTATATATCATTGCCTTATTGTTTTATTTTTTGTAAACATTGTGCTTTTTTTCGTGTTTCTTCTTGGATATATATTTTTCCCCTCGTTCATTATCATACTTCATCATGACTGAACAGACACCTAAAGTACTCAAGCTTAAGACTTTGTCCCCGCCTTTGTTTCAACTGATGCATTTCTGGCCCGACAACATCGAAGCCTGGTTCTGCTACGCAGAAGCCGACTTCCACGAGCACGGCGTGATCGACACACGTGCACATTTCCTCGCAGTAGTCAAGGCGCTACCGCGCGAATTCAACAGGTACGTAACACCTAGTATGTTTACTAGTGATGTTTCCGATCCTTACGAAATCTTAAAACGCTCGATTCTTAAACGAGGAGACCTAACCGATCGACAAAGGTTAGATCAACTCTTCAATAACATCGACCTGCAACACGGTTCTGCGACGGACATGCTGCAACGGATGAGAGAGGTTATAGGCCCAAGAACTTTCGACGAAGGTCTATTCAAACAACTCTTCTTGTCAAAACTTCCCTAACAGGTGCAAGCAGTTCTGGTCTCGTTCCAGAACAATGCCTTAGACGAGCTAGCTGCATCTGCCGACCGCATTTTAGAAATTACGAAACCTTCTACTACCGAGGTATTTTCAGTCAAAGAAAAACCTCAAACGACTCAGAATGATATAAACGACTTATCTCGATTTTTCCTTTTACGATATATAACTTTTTTAAAAAAACAATTTTAATATGCCTATATATTTATATTTTTATTTTTAAAAAAAAGCGGAAAATTATTTTTTTAAACACTATTACGTGTGCTCGAGTTTTTTTTCCTTTTTTTCGCCGACATTGTGTTTTTTCGCACATACGAGTGTATTTCGACATGCACTTACACTTTCTTTTTTCTTTTCCAGGACGGCTGGAAAAGAACGATGCAGTTTACGAGGAGTCGAAATTTTCGTTGTAACTATGTTGTACCTCGGTCCCATATAGTAAGGAAAGACGACCAGACGCTGCTACACTTAGTAAGCTATCAGAAGAGTGTTTACCAACGACAAACTCGTTGGGTTTAAACTTCTGGCTGGCCACGTCTTAGGGCCGTCACTGCCCCACTAGGGGGGGGAGTGATCTGTAGCGGTAAATAAATCCCCAAAATAAATAGCACTAAGTTTTCGACATTGGATGCTGACCATATGTTTTAGTGGACTCATCTAGCTGAAGGCGCTCGGTCAGGCATCCGCACCAGATCACGTGTGGTAACGCCGTGCTCAACATCAACCGCAATCGCTAGCCAGATTAGATCAGAGAATTCCGATATATTGGTCATCGCCAAATATACTCTTCAATTCTCCTCGATTCTGTCTTTTGATTTCTCTGGGTGGGAACGAAATATATTAGAAGGTGTTACTGGTAGAAGCGTTGTCAAACACTGAATACCTGTGACATCATCATCACTTTCGACTGATGACTTACACTACTTGTATCTGTTGACATCAGTACCAAACACCACAGATTGAATTCGACTGACACTTAGGTATTCGAATAATTCCGATCGGCTAATGAATTTTATTGGTCAGCGTAGTTGAGTCTAGGAGATTCACAACCCTCATTCATTACAAGTTCTTAGTACGAAAATGAATTAATGTGGATTTTTCATCAGACAGCATTGCTGAATTTTATAAGAGACCTACTAACTTCAAAGAAAATTACTTTAATAAAAATATATTTCTGCAAAGCCGGGTGCACGTCATTTTCACAGGCATGATCTTGAAGTTAAAACATTTGTTGGCTCACAAAATGCTTTCCAAGAAGGGTCGTTAAACAGATATAATCAGTTAAAGTGAATAACAGTACATTCGTGGAGATTTCTTGGAGCGTTTATGATTAGGTTTGTGCTTTAGTATTACATTGAGTACAGTCTTCAAAGTATTTTTCAAAGTGGCATCATGCCCACATTACACAACAGAACCAATCACGGCATAATTATGTTAGAATTCTGGCCGTTCTAAGTATTTATTCAATGCAGCTTTCCAAGTTTATAAAATAGATTTGTAGAGCGCTTGGTGTAAACTATTATCTTGAGAAAATGCGTACGTCGAGTTTCTTCCAGACATCGAAAGTCCCATAGATGTGTCCTCAGAGCAGAATTCTGATAAAAAGAGAAGCTGAGGAGCGGCAAATCACTTGGATATGAACCTTAAACAATACCTAACATTTTGTAGTGGAACAGACAGAGGTATTCATACTAGCTCTTGATGCTAGAGTGAAATGTGATCAGAGGCTCCAGATGAGAGAATGCAGTAATAAAGAACGATGAGTTGTGATATTTACCAAGGTGTAGCAAGTTTAAATGAAGGAAGGGAAGTCAAGTTTGGAATAAAGAATACTGTTTACTAGAACGGAAAGTGCATATAGGGAATAAAGTATTAGGAAAACTAATAACTATGTGTTTTAGGGTTTGATTTTTCTCGATTTTTTAGTTTTTTTAACCCGATGCCCACCACAAAGTTCTAGTGTAAAAAACGGAGTTAGCATGTTATAGGTTGTTGTGTTGCTTGAATGAACTAATGATTCCTTTGTACTTGTTTAATGCTTGATTTCGAATTCCAAATACAGTACATTCGTTTGTGGTTATCTCGTACTTCTTGATCCGATTACGTTATTTCTGGAATTCTTAGTTCATACTATAATTCAAATACTCCTAATCATCATACTGGCGTCGCGATGGAGCCTGTGATGGGACGGTTGGACATACATTCAGATTTTGATGCTTTTGAGGATTACTTTGAAAGGTTCGAAATCTGGGCTATGACCAAGGAAGATGATAAGGATGTTTATATTGTAGCACATTTCCTCACATTCATCGGAAAAGAAGCATATAGCTTATTCAAAACTCTGGCTTTACCGGAAAAGCCCATTTCGCTTTCTTACACAGCTCTCAAGGAACTACTTCTAGACTATGTTCAGAATACAAATTTCGATTGCGGTGACGGGAGATCTAGTAAAATGATCCACAAGGATGTAAAAAATTCCACTGCATTATGTCATTCCAACCCAGTGCATACTCAAGGTTATGCAGATAACAAATCATTAAGGAGTTGCGATGCAGTTTACGAAGATGGGCACAAGTTTGGTCGATACTTGTTCTGTGGCAGGTTCCACTCTCTTAATTCATGTAAATTTCATTATTCTGAATGCTTTAAATGTGGTGATATTGGACATATTCAGTCACTTTGTAATACTACTGTTCATCTTGCTGCAACTTATATTAAGTCTTGTAATTCTGATTCTATTAAGTCCAGTGTTCCTAAAGATAATTTATCTTTATTAACGATTTCAAAAGACAGTGTAGAGTCATTAGCAGTTCAGAGTTAAATGAAACTCAGAGTCCTCGCCAGACAACAGTTTCTAACCAATCGATTTGTCAGATTTCGCATGTTATTGTACCAAAAATGGTCCTTCCTGATGATTCACATATTTCTGATAAATTTCTTACAAATCTAAAGAAAATGTGTTGAGTGAACATAATTATGATCGAAAACTTGATGTAGTTTTGATAGATGCTGATTTTTCTAATGATCCTCTACTCTACAATGACATTCTTAATAAATTTGAGGAAACTATTTCAGAAGAATCAAATCTTGATTTTCTATCAAATATTATTTGTCCTTATAATGCATTTGTTTCTTGTGGGAAACTTGTTTAGTGCGAAGCACAAGTACTAAATGAGCTCGATTTTGATTACGATTCGGATGATTTCATATCAAATGTTGTTTATCCTTATCACAAAAACACCTCTAATGTTTGTTCTAACCAATGTGAAAAATATGTTTTAAATGAAGCCACATCATTCATAAATTGGGGATATGAAGATCCAAAATTATTTTGTGGGGGAGGATAGTGTTGGGAAATCTGTGTTTTAAGTTCTAGATAGTGGTTTCAGTACACAACCGACACGGCGATTGTATACAATCCCAGGAACCAAGTGACTCTGTTCCGATTTCGGTCGTTAATTCTAATAATAATGAGCACATTCTAGATTATACAGAGTTTATATCCAATACAATGTCGGACAGACACAGGATGAAGTTGTATTATAATTCAAATACTTCTGATTATCACAGTTATCTTAGTAGAATATCTAATCCAGCATAAAATTGAAAACATAAGTCTGGATGGTGGGTGTAGAAGAACAATCCCAGTATCACAGAGTGATTGACTTGTTGTAAATCATAAAGGGCGTGATACAAACAAAATGTTCTACCCCACAAACATGGGTGGTTTGAAGTCACTGCCCTCACCGTTATTGCTTGTTGGTCAATAAATCCACCCTCCCTCCTTTTGTGATGTGAGGCTCGTTTGAGCTTGTTTTTGGATATATATCATACCTCACACGATGCTCTGCGTTTCACATCCTGTTGGAAAACACTATTTTTATAAGTACTTATCAGGAAGTTACAGATTATGGACTGTGGTTAAGGCATTGGTGTAATGTTGTAATTGACTGTAGTATAAAGTATAGGTTGCCAATCACATTATAGGCATTAGGAAGGGTATATTGTCAGATAGTTGTTTACCAAAGTAGACGAAAAAGTATGAAAATATATGAGTTATAGATAATGTAACAAGTGGTGAAATAATAGTAGTGGCAAGTCAACAAAGTGTATAGGAAAGCAAGAAGCTGATAAGGAATGGACAAGAAGGAACACGCACCAACTTGGTGTCGATGTTATTTTGTTCTATCCCAACCGGTTGGTGGGTAACATGTTCCATAGATGCAGGACCACTAGTAGTAGGCAGTCGATTGTGTGGTTCTCTTGACCTTTTAGTGTAGTAGTGAGTGTCCCTTAGCGACCGAGTTTGATTGAGCAGTATTGATAGGTCCAGTGAGTTACCTGTCTATTTCAGGTAAAAAAATCAGGTAGAAAAAATTATCTTATACAACAGAAAAGTAGGGAAATAAGGCAAACTGAACTTAGAGTCCGATTCTGTCTATCCACGTAGACAGCCTACAATATGCTTTTTCCTAAGATTGGTATGATGTACTTTGATGGACAACCGGGTCAGTACTACTGTTTTATTAGTCAGTTTACTAGCATTATAGAGAGTAAACTGTCCGATAATGGCCAATTGTTGTCGTATCTGTTATATTATTGTATAGGAAAGGCCAAAACGGCTGTTGAATCATGCATTTCCCTGCCCAGTCATTTGGGTTATGACGGCTAAACGAATTTTACATGATTTATTTGGTAAGGATCACCTTGTTGCACGAGAACTAATTACTGAGTTATTAAACAACAAATCTGTTGCAGGATCAGCTGACGTATTAACTGACTTACAAAATGTATGTATGACGTTGAGGGAAATGGGGTACATGTCCGCTAGAATTACAGAATAAGTGAGCGGAAGTCGCCAATAAGATCATGGTGCATGGGAAGGAGCCGAGCTCTGAAGAATTTGTGATCTTTGTAGAAGAGAGAGCCAGAATTGCTTGAACACGTTATGGTAGATTAGTACAGTATAACTCAAGGTTTGGTAAAAGGAATTCTGTGGGCCAAGCTGATAGGAGGTCACTCTTTCATGAAATTAGGCGAGACCCAAACAACTCAGTCTTAGGGGACCGCACCCGGAGCCTTCCACCCGAATGCCTGATCCACAAGGCAGTGAAGCAACGTCAAGAGATTCAGCCCCGTGGTAGCCGGTGACAAACGATCGGTTCAAACGCCATTAGTTTCTTCAGGATACTGGAGCCCATGTGCACCATGGGTTTGGAATGAGGGCTGTAACGGAAAGAAAACGATAAAAATCCCTCCGCAGCTTTTTGTTGGAAAGTACTGTCATGTATCTGTTTCTTCTCCATGTCGTGTATCTTAACCTTTGTTCAGACCTCGTTTAACCACACCTTTTGTTCTCCACTCTTCCTCGTCTGAGCCTTTATTATGTGATTTTGATTGAAGACTTACCTTTTGCTACCTAAGTTTCCACTGCATGTTGCCGGACTATTGACAGTAAGGTCGTGGTCAAGATCACGGCGTGGTTCAGCGTGTGGCTGTTAACCTTTTGACTGTCTGCTGGGGAGGATTGCTGGAATCCTTGCGGATAGATGTTTGATCACATCTTGTTGAGAATATTTTTATCGATTCTCAGGTATCAAACCCTTCATTATTAAGTGTTTCCTTCATTGTTTAGTGCGCTACTTTGCGTTAGAGAAACTTCTGACTGTATAGCACAGGCTGTACCGTTTGAGGTATTTGGTACTTTTGATGTGATTTGTTCTATTTTCTAAATTAGGACTGTTTATATTGAGCACAGAGTTTGTGTTTTGATATAATATGATACGAGTACCTCAAAAACGCATTGTATGCTATACAGAGGAACTTGGTCTGGTCTAATCGAATAAATTTTGGTTCGTCAGTCCGGCGTTCCAACCGAATAGTGGTTGTTCGGTCGTTACGAGGGCTTTCCAACTCCACTAGGTGGAGTCCTCATGTCCACTAACCTAGCTAAAGCGCTGAAGTTTCGCTTTTCGTCCTCTTAATTTCGTAAACATCAGTAATGCCATGAGAAGGCAGTGAGTAGGACTTCTCTGGCAGAAGCTATATACGCTTGACCATGTGAGAGCATTTCGAGAGGGAGAGTGGACTGTCCCCATTCTCGGCCATATCAGGGCATTAGAGGGCAGCTAACGTCAAAGTCACCCCTCGTGGTCAGCACCTAACGTTGATTGCTCTATTGACGTATCAAGGTACTATAGATGCTTTGAAGACTGTACAACACAGGGGAGGTTATTGCAGAAATATATTTGTTAGAGTAGACACAAGCGAAAGTAATACTATCCCTCATGGGCCGGTTCATGGCGTAAGATTAACTGATGCTTGTTGGTTGTCCTTCACCTTGACAGGGATCGAGCGATCTGTTCGATATTCAGCGACCCAACTGCAGGTTTATTTGGCTACGGCTCAGTGACATTGCACTGGCCCTGCACGCGTTTAACTTGAGCACCTGGACGCAAGAACCCTTCCAAGTCTCAAGCGAGAAGACAGAAGACAAATGAAAGGAGTGTTATTCCAAATAATATCCATTATGGTACAAAACTGACAGGTATTTATAGTTTTAAGTAAAAAATTGAATCACCATTATAGTTATCCAATCCTCACACAGAGGGTTATTAGCATTCGTCCAATGAGGAAGCTACATAAAGGGATTCTGGAATACTCTTCCAAAAGATGATTAAACGGAACATCTTCGGCTGTTTCTGAGCTTTCTAAAGCTTCCTCAAGTTCACCAATGGACCGTCCTCGCATTGCAGGCCTTCTGTCCTTACTACAAAAATGTGAATCTGAAATCTGGATCTAAATTTGAGGCATGTAGGACAAGGCCACTGAGATGAAAAAGGTGGCAACCCAAACTCTGAGCTTAACGAATGGCGTTGACGAAACTGTGATGTCGCGACACATTTTAGCGCTAATTTTTTAATTTTACTTTTTGCACAGGCTGAAGTCTAAATTAGCTATAAAGTGATTCGAAAGTCTATTATCTGATTTCAAAATTTAGTGAATGGGTGTTTTTCTATTTTGCGGTACATCGTATCACAAAGCCCTTGAAAAACCATTCATCGTTTGCTGATACAACAGCTTTACCATATTCAGACCTCAGACTAGAAGTCATTTACACTTAGCTATACACAATGATCAGACAAATAACATATTTCTATATTGACTAACGTGATTTATTCATATATATATATATATATATATATTGCATTGTTTTCATGGTCGCCGAACTGCGTGAAGGTGTCACAGGTATTCAGTGTTTGACAACGATTTTACCAGTAACACCTTCTATTATGAAGCGCGCCCACCAAGAGAAATCAAAAGACAGAATCAAGATCAAAAGTTGTATTTGATGGTTGTCAATATATCGGAATTGTCTGATCTAATCTGCTTAGCGATTGCAGTAGATGTTGAGCTCAGCGTTCCCACACGTGATCTGGTGCGGATGCATGACCGAGTGCCTTCAGTTAGGTGAGTGCATTGAAACATGTGGTCAGCATCCAATGTCGAAAACTTACAGAGTTATTTATTTCAGGGATTTATTTACCGCTACAGATCACTCTCCCCCTAGTGGAGTATTGATGACCCTAAGGCGTGACCAGCCAGAAGTTTAAACCCAACGAGTTTTGTCTTTGGTAAACACTCATCTGATAGCTTGCTAGGTTTAGCAGCGTCTGGTCGTCTTTCCATACCATAAGGGACCGTGAAATACAATAAAGTAAGAAAATAATGCACAATGAAAAGTTTGGTTCCTCGTAAACCTCATCGTTCTTTGTATCGTCTTTTCCAGCCGTCCTGGATAAGAAGAAAAGAATGTGTAAG